TTGGGGTTCATGCCAAACGTTTTGCAGATCAATTAAGGTTGTGGGTTAATATGCCGCACCTCCACAGAGGTTCATGCACTTGCATATCATTGTTGAACAGACCCTTAGGTCATTTGAGTTTTGTTAGAAGTATTCTCCCTTCTTTTCCTCTCACCTCCCACTTTATCCCCTGTTCCAGTTCCTCCCCCATCAAGGACACCATTAAACAGGTTTCTCCTGTGCTTCCAGGATTCTAACTTTTTGTCGTTCACAAAAAGACTGGGTACTGGCATTCTGTTTATGATCTCTTCCTTCTGAATTGCTTCTTCAATGTGCCTCAGTTCACCATGGAATCCTACCTGTCTCTCAGATGGGCCTTTCTTCCAGGGCTTTGGATGATGAGATTCGATATGTCCAACATTTATCTTCACATCCTATTGCTCGAGATTCACGTCGTTATCTAGTTTTGTCCAGGATCATGTTTATACATTCCAAGTTCTGTTGGGTGATCCAGTCATATGCCCAATTCCTACATCTTCATGGGCTCAGTTTCCATTTCTGTAGGGATGTCTGGCTTCTTCTAGCTTCATCCTTTGCAGAGTCTTCCACACTCACTAAACTTATCATCAGAGAAGCTGCTCAGATGGATTGAATTATTAAGGTGGAGAAGTCTGTTATCCACCCCACTGAATATCTTGTTCTTCTGGGTGTGTTTTTACAACTCGCATGTCACGCGAGCCCAACCTTCTCTTCATCTATGAGCCATGGAGTTTTTAATTCAGAGGGCACTTTCAGCACATTCTCTCCTCACATGAGAGGTTCTGTCTCTTTCGTAGACTTGGGCATCACTGGAAGCTATTATCCCTCTTGGCCATACCCACATGCATTATTTGCAGTGGGTACTACAAGATCAATGGCACCTTGTCATGTGACAGTGGGGGGTACCTAATTCTCTTCCTCATTCGGATATTCACATCCTCACAGATGCCTCGTTGTCAAGGTGGGATGCATTCTGCAATACACAGAAGATCTTGGGCCATTAGTCTTGGCAGAAGCTAGGTCTTCAACATTTTGGAACTCCTTGCTGTTCAGTGAGTGATACTTCAATTTCTGTCATCTCTGCAGAGCATGACAGTTATGATTAAATCTGACTACTAAACTGCTGTCTCTTACATCATCTGAAAAGGGGGCACTTAATACCAGTCTTTATGTTCCTACACTCTAGAGCTCACAGCTATCAAATTCGTTTGCTGGCCTATCACATATCAGGTGCCCAAAATCTTTCCAGGGTTCTTCTGTCTTGTCTTGACAAGGTTCTACTGACGAAGTGGTTTCTCGACCCCAGGTATTCCGAATGTTATGTTCTCATTTGGATACTCTCCCCAGTTTCATATCCTTTGACTTTGAATATGTTCAGCCAGGAATGGAAGGATCTTTTCCTTTATACATACCCTCCCATCTGTCTTCTCTCATCCAATACACTCTGTGTCAAGTCCTTCTTATGGCTCCTTTCTGGTCAGTTCAACCATTGTTTCTGTCCCTGTCACTTCTTCAGGAACTACCTCCATTACTTCTCCCTCTTTCCTGGTTCCTCTTCTTGCAACCTCACTCAGAGGTTCTTCATCCTTCCATTCCCACACTCCAGCTTAACAAATGAATTTTGTCTAGCCCCTTGTGAGGGGTTTGGAACTATCCACAACTTTAGTCTGTCTGTTATCAATATGAATGGAGAATATTCCATCGTTGGTCTATCCAGCATGGATTCTCATTTTCCCTTTCTCAGACATCCGACTTTTTACATGACTGTTTGACATGGGTTTGTCTGTTTCAACCATTATAGGCTTTAGGGTGGCCCTATCATCTACCTTTCATTTTTCCCGTTTTTGACAATTGTATTCTTCTCCAGTTATTTCCCTTTTATTTCAATCTATGTGTCTCTATTGCCCTCTTCATACCATTCCATTAAATTTTTGGACTGGAATCTAAATGTTGTTCTCCATGTCCTTAAAGGGCAGTCAAATTGAGAATAGCTGTAACTGTGAACAGTGGTATCTATCATAAATATATTTCCTTAGAATATTAACTCTCGTAACTCTTTTTTAGCTTAATATGGCTACTCGTTACTCTCTAGTAGGAAAGTCATATGTTTTTAACAGAATAGTACTAATTTAAACCTTGTAACTTTGGAACAAATGTAATTTTATCAATTTTAGCCAACCACTGTTTGTCATATCATAATGTAATTGCCTGTATCTCAGCTTTGAGAACTCATAATAAAAGTGGATATTGCCATAAAGATACAAAATGGTAAAAGCTTGGCTTGATAATATGTTGCTAGAAGAAAAGGTGTTGTGAACATCTGCCACAATTTTTTTAATCTAACATAAAACTTCCTTTATCATTCTATACTTCATTTGAATTATGGTGTTGCAATATTATAGGTAAATAAGTGTTTTTCATGGAACAGGATGAGATAGGCTTAGTTTGATCTTTTGCACTCAACCATATTAAGTTTTGTTTCACCAGCAAGGCTGCTATGTTAAACAACATTTACATGAGGTCATATCGGACTAAATAATTTCTTGAATTAGCATAGCATGTTCTCACAGAATTATAAATTAAACAATTATCAATCTGAATGTTGGATATACAAGATTGTTTGTGTAAGAATTATTATTTAGTTTTCATAACAAGAGTGTTAAAAGTAATTATTAGAATTTATAATTATGACAAATTTCAATACATAACTCGGTAAGAGGCACATGTTGTGTGTGTAGTTCAACTGATGTAAATTGACATCACGTCACTCGAACCTTCTGCATTTTTCTTGTTGCCTTAAGTGAGTATTGTTACATCATGCTGTTGCAGTTTGTAAAAAGTTCTAGGCTTCAGTTGGGCAATGTATTGTTGCATCAGCGAGGTCACGTGACTCGTTCTCTCGAATCTTCGGGAATTGTCGGGAGAAACTAGATATATGGTAGTCTGGTATATATAAGAGGGTG